TCACCGAGATGCCAAAAGTTGGTCGTCATCACTACCTGTTGGTGTTTGTCTGTACGCATACTGGATGGATAGAAGCGTTTCCAACTGCCACTGAAAAGGCCTCAGAAGTTGCCCGAGCCATGTTAAGGGATCTAATTCCAAGATTCGGATTACCTACCTGGGTTTCCTCTGATAATGGACCAGCCTTCATCTCTGAATTAACTCAGCAAGTTGCCAAAGCCTTAGGAATCATCTGGAAATTACACTGTGCCTATCGTCCCCAGAGTTCAGGAGCAGTAGAACGAGCTAATAGAACTCTTAAAGCCTCCTTGCGGAAGTTCACCCAAGAGACTGAACAGCCATGGCCTAAGATTCTACCTCTAGTGTTATTCCGACTGCACTGCCTCCCTTCCAAACGAACTTCAGTTTCTCCTTATGAGGCAATGTTTGGCCGTCCTCCCCCACTGACCATGGGAGTTCATACCGATGCTTATGGGTTTCATCAGTTAATCACCTCAGCAGAATTACAAGCCCTTGGACGACAAGTTGAGAAACTCCAAAGACATTACTCTGCCTGTCTCCCAGTTCCCTTGTTTGATTCTGTGTGTCATGTCAGTCCTGGAGATTCAGTATGGGTTAAAAATTGGAGACCAGAGCCCTTAGGGCCAAGGTGGGAGGGACCTTTCACTGTTTTACTCAGTTCCCCTACAGCTGTGAAGGTCGTTGAGAGGAAACCCTGGATCCACTGGACGAATTTGAAGCTTGCCCATACTAGATGGACTGCTGAGCCAGGATCTAATCCTACTACTGTGAAGCTTAGACGTGTCGTGCCCAGTAATCCAGCAAGCTCTGCTTCTCTTGGGCCCACGCCCCAAGAGGACACAGCTGAAGATTGACTCCAGAACCCCTGCTGAGACCTACCGGAAACGGTCTCCCTGCGCACGGGTGAAAAATCAGACCTTCGTTGGAGCATCAGGCCCTGCTCTAGTCACACCGGAAGCTGACTAGTCGACGCACAGGCCCAAGATGTGGATGCTTCTGTTAAATTGTGTTTTTGTACCTTCTATGATCTGCATCCCAGTTATGGGGTTTCCTGCTTGTACCTCTTGCATTACTTCCACTTTTCGTGAAGGTCAAGTCTCACAAACCCTCATTTATCATTCTGACTTTGATTGTATTTCGTCTGTAGTTACCCAATGTTCTCATGAGGGCATAAGTTACAGTGTTTGTGTAAATCAAGGGAAATTTATGTGCTTTCGACCCCAGTCCAATGTGACTCGGGCCCGTATTAATGTTTATGCTTATATTAGTGGATGGTACACAAGTCCTGATACTTTCACCTCTTCCCTTTTAGCGTCCAATGTCACTTCCCAGTCTAGTCAAAGTATGCAAGTCTGTTTTGACATATGTCATGCCATCTCTCGAAGTCGAAAGTATAGTGCAGGGGAAATTAGACAAACGTGTGGAGGGCTAGCTAAAGAGCAGAGCTATGCCAAAGAAGGGAAAATGTTTCTGTCATCAACTTATGAACTTGAAGCACAAGTCTGGTATGTCTCTAATGATGGTAATATCTCAGATGGACCTCAAGGTGGAATAGTGGGAGGAGGGAAAGCCCACCCGTACTTTAAGTTATCCCAGGGAACTAGTCTAACCCCTTGCAGCCATAACCACTGCACTCCCTTGTGCTTACATTTCCGAGCATCTGAGAACCAGGGAAGAAAGAAACTGATGTATGGGGTTGGCATAAATATTGGTGGTCGAGGAAGTCCCTATGGACGCATTGTCATAGAAACTGTTAGTTCAAAAATCCAAAGCACTGAAATGAAGATTGGTTTGGAAACATACTTGGAGATTGGAAACGTATATTGTTCTTAATAGCTTTAGCCTTTGGTGGTTTGTTACTTCTCCCTTGTTTGATACCTTTGGTTAAGAATGTAGCTACCAGAACAGTTAATGCAATGTTAGCTCACAAGGATACTGTTAAACTTTTATATTTGGTTACTGCTAAGAGGAACAGGTTGAACACTAATGCATAAATTCTTCCACAGGTTAAAGAAGAAAAGTACTGTTAGTTACTGTATACTCTCCAGGCAAGGAATAAATGCCATGCCATGTTATTGGTCGGTCTCTCTCTCTGTCCCAGAGAAAGGACCGAAAGGGGGGAATGAAGTAGGCATTATTATTCCTTGCCCATATAAGGGGTTGTTGCTGTTCATGTTCCAGTCATAAGGGGGCAGAAGTGAGCTTGTGTAGTTTGGGAGGGAAAAATAAGCCTAGTCAATGGAAAATTCCACTCTGGTGATGTAAATGGTGACGTGTAACCTTGTTGCAGTATAAAAGCCTGGAGCCTGCGTTGCTCTGGGTTCAGTCTGTTTAAAGCGTGCTTCGCTGACTGAACCGGCGCCAATAAAGTTCTTCTCCTTCTGTTGATCTGGTGGTCTGTGCTTGGGCTTAGGCCCCTTTCTCCGTGCTACACTACCTCTACTGCTGTTATAGAAATTGTAATGTTTCTCCCTATTCCAATTCCCCAACTGGTTTCTGCTACTTCCTTTGAACTTCATTTGCCCTCTCTGTAGCTGTCCTTTGAACCAGCATGTCAAATAGCTGAAACTGTGTAAACAAAAGAAAGAATGCTTGGAAACCCAAAGTACAAGGCTGGCACGGAAACTCAAATATGACACACACTTAACTCTTTATCATAGGGTGTGGCCAGACGTGCCATTTGATCTGGTGTCATGCCAGTTCAGAAACGGATTTTATCTGCGCGATCACACAGTCAACATCTGCCGCCCGTCCCCAGCTGTCGCTTTCCAGCTCAAAACCGCTTTCACCCGGAGTATTTTGATACCAGGTCCCCAAGTGGTGTTTTCCTGATTCTCCGGTTCCAGCCGCATTTTTCCCCTGTGTGATCGCCCCTGCGGTGTCGAGCCACTTCTGGTTTAAACCCCCTCCCCACTCGAAAGCTGCCCGAGGCTTCCGTTTTTCGCCCGCTATTTTTTTCAAGCGTTGCCGGTGTGCGCATAGGCAGAGGTCCGCCAACGCGTTACTAAAAAAATGTTTAAACAGTGCCTAGTTTTAGCATTTAGACGAGTTCGGGATCTCACGGATGCCATTTTCAGGGTAAACGTTTAAAGGGAAGTGTTCCTTTAAAGTTTAAAGGGAAGTGTTACAGCAGTCGGGTTGAAGGGGAAATTGCTGTTCTGCGCACGCGCAAAAATTTTAGTTCTACAGATGGCTGCCTGTGTGCATGCCCAAACTGAGAGAGAGAGAGAGAAATAACACCAACGCACGCTCCCGCGTGTGGACGGCAGGGAACGATGTGGCCGCGCAGCGATCTGGAGCAAGTGTGTTTGCGATTCTCCAGGTTAAAAAAAAACTGCATCAGGGCTGGAGGAGTTTAAACCGCTCCCAGCATGCCATCTGACCGCACCCATATAGTGGAATCCCACTCCCCTTGCTGGCATTCTCCCCACTTTGCTACCTGGCCTTGCATCCCAAAAAGACCATGCAATGCTGGTATGGCCCTTTTATATACCCAAACCCTAACTTTACCTTGAAGAAGTCTTTCTAAAATTAAGTGTAGCTGTCTTGAATAATCTTAAAGGAAGAAAAGTGAAAACCCTAGCGGGGGTGGAATTTATCTCCTTGTGTCAAAATGTGTATTTTTTCATAATAATTTATCATCATCATCATATGGTGTCGTATTGTCTGGCAGCCTGAAGTTCTAGCTTTTTTAGCGGTATGCACCACTAGGTGGTGAGCTAGACTTATTTTTTGGGCTGAGGGAGCTCTGAAAGATAAGTCTAGTTCGCCCCCTAGTGATGCATTTACAGTTACATGTGTTTGGAAAGCAAAGCAATAGATTCATTGAATAATTAAAACCAGCTGATTTGAAAAATCAGAATGTTATCAAATTCTTTTAAATCACATAGTAGACATCCTCAAAGCAGACTCCCCATTGCCATTGAGTGTGTGTGTGCGCATGTGTGTTGGGGGGGGGACCCTTGGCATATCTTTAGTAATAGATTTATTGGAACTGTCAAGTCATGACATTCTTGTAAATAGGTATGAAGTGATTTTGTACAGAAGGATCATGCAGTTGACTATGTTGTTGAGCAGGAAGATTAATATACTGAGTTGTGTAGAAGCAGCAGCAGCAGCACTTCTGAGCTTCTGAAAGTGCCACCCATCACACCCCACAGCTCATGAGGGAGGGTGCACAGGGAGTGCGCATGCACCTTGTCGCGGAGAGCACAGAAGGACACGGAGCACTACCAGGGGAGCCCTTGGTGAAAACATACCACAGGGAGAGCAAAGTCCCCACTTCGTGGCTGACCTCTACCAGTTTTCGTCCCCAACAGGCAGGGTGATGTCTCTACTTTTTATCATGCTGTTTAGGTTCACCATCGCTTTCCTCCCAAGGAGCAGGAAGGCCTCCTTATCTCTCCTTGCTGTTCTCTGGAAATCTGCGTTCAGTTGGGTGAATCTTTCCTTTTCGCCTTTGCCTTTCGCTTTCCTTCTTTCCTCTGCTATTTGTAAAGCCTCATCAGACAGCCACTTTGCTTTCTTGCATTTCTTTTTCTTTGGGATGGTGGTGATTGCTGCCTCCTGTCCAATGTCATGAACCCCCATCCATAGTTCTTCAGGCACTCTATCTATCAAATCCAGACTCTTCACCTCTACTGTATATTCATCAGGGATGCCTACCTCCATCTTTAAACTCTGCCGGTTCAGAGCACGTGTTCCCCATTTTCCATTCTTATCCCCTCCATTCTTCCATTGGAACGGCTCAGTCACGAAGACAGGTAAATATTACCCAAACAACAAATACCCTGCTCATGCAAACGTCATAATTATCTATCTTTATTTCTTAGTATAAGTATAATTGTGTGAGTGTTTGTGTATTGTTTGACTGAGACATCTCCATCAGTACAAGACATTATATTTTACCAATCATAGTCTATGTCTGTTCTGGTACTTACAGTAAAGGTATAAATTGGTGTGAACCCTAATTTGCCTATCGCCAATTAATAATCATAACTTCACCAATATCAATTAAGAATTTAAGGCAATTTGGCTAACAAGCTGACCTATTCCTGATTAGGCAACTTAAGGTTTCAGTTGTGTCAGTTACAAAAACAGAGCCCAAATTATATGGGAGAATATTTATTTAAATATTTGCATCCTTCCTATCAACCCAAAAATTGATCCTGAGGGAGCTTAAAAAGCCCAGTAATAAAATACACACTTCACAAAAAAAACAACAACAGTACAGAACATTACAATCAGCAATTTAGTAGAAAAAAAATTTAAAAACAGCAGACTTAAGATCAAAACATCGGTGGTGGGGGTGGGGTCAGAACCACTCACTGAAAAACCTGAGAGAACAAATATCTTCACCACACAGAGCCAATCTGGAGCCATTCAAGCACTGAAAAGGTGGGCATTCGAAAACTAAGTGCTACAATGGAAAAAGGGGTTCCTCTAGCGGCTGTTCCCCTCAGAAACTGGAAGGTGATGGAACATGGCCTCAAATGGTGATCTCGAGAGACAGCTGGGAGCACAGGGAACACAGTGGTCCTGCAGGTACTGCAGATTATCTCCGAAGCACACAGGAGCACTGAATCGGCAAGTGCCAGTCTTGCGTGACTGCACTGTGAAGCTTAGCGTTCAGATGGGAGTTCGTGTGCCAGTAAATACATGGAGCAGATCCACTAGGGCCACACAGAGCCTGAAGTGCCGGATCCATCTACTGTGGTCTAATTTTCATATCTGCATATTTGTACGAATAATGGTGCCCCTTCCCTGCAGCCCAGTTGATGCCATTGGCATAAGAAGTGTGTTCGCCTTTGAGGTACAGGCCATTCAGATTAGAAGAGTGGCAGACACTATACCACCAGGCACCCTTGTAGGATACAGCACAGCTTCCTGTCTCATGGATGTCATTATCCTTGTCCAGGGTAGAGAAGTTCATGCCGTTATGCGAGGAGAAGGAATCACCTGAAGGGAGAAAAGCAGGGAGGGGAATATGTATGACAAGGGGAACAACATATCCCCCCTCTCCACTGAGATTTTATGAGAATATCTCTCCTTTTTTTCCCTTGGAGAAAATAGCAAACAAATGTATAGGCTGATTTCTAACATTTTTGTGCACGTGAAAGGTAGTGAATGCTGCAAGTGAAAAGATCAGTGCCAAGGGGGCTGGTGTGAGCACCCTCTAGTTTACCTACCAGGGCTATTTTTGGGCAGGAACGCACAGGAACGGCGTTCCAGCTGGCTCCCAAGCTGGCCACACCCAGCAGGAACTCATTAGCATGATAAGCCACACTCAACAGCAGAAACTCATTCGGATTGGCTACAATTAGGGGTGTGTGGCCTAACATGCAAAAAACCCTGGGTTTTGACAACAAAGAAGGTAAAGAGAATAAGAAGCAAAAGGTGGGTGTGGCTGGATGACCACACTTCTGGCAACATGGGGGTGTGGCCTAATATGCGAATGAGCTGTGCTGTCAGGGTGTGGCCTAATAGGCTAATGAGTTCCTGCTGTTGGGTATGGCCTATTATGCTAATGAGTTCCTGCTGGGCTTTTTCTACAAAAAAAGCCCGGCTAAAACCAAATCTCAGGAAGAGGAGACTAAAATACCGACATCCGTTACTGACAGATCATGACACGAGAGACAGACTGCACCAGATCTACACAGTTTTCAATGGCATGACATCACAATGTGATCATTTATTTCCAATCCTTTCTGACCTGTGAGTGGGCCAGATAAGAAGCAGTGGCTACAAACGGGCCCTGCCCTACCCATTGCAGTGGGCTCATTGGCTCCGAGTGATTGGATCATGTTGCCAGCCAAAGAGTGAACCATGCATTCTGCCTCTGTTGTCTGCATCTACAGTTACTGGTTTTCATCTCACCCATGTAAAAACCATGCGTTTCCCTCTCCTTGATCTGTATGTGTATGTGTGTATATACCTGCACATAACACAATATGGAAGATTGTATGCATAGACACATACAATATACCCAGGGCTTTTTTGGTAGAAAAAGCCAAGCAGGAACTCATTAGCATAATTGGCCACACCCAACAGCAGAAACGTATTAGCATATTAGGCCACACCCTGACAGCACAGGTCATTAGAATATGAGGCCACACCCCTGTGTTACCAGAAGTGTGGTCATCCAGCCACACCCACCTTTTGCTTCTTATTCTGTTTACCTTGTTTGTTGTCAAAACCCAGGGCTTTTTTTGGAGCAGGAACTCCTGTGCATGCTAGGCCACACACCCCTAATGTAGGCAGTCCTAATGAGTTTCTGCTGTTGGGTGTGGCCTATTATGCTAATGAGTCCCTGCTGGGCGTGGCCAACTCAGGAGCCAGCCGGAACTCCGTTCCTGTGCGTTCCTGCCCCAAAATAGCCCTGAATATACCTATACATGCACAAGTGTCTCCAGCACCTTTACAGATGAGTAAGTTCTTGCTTATGACATTTCACTCTGCATAATTAGTGAGGGACTTAGCTCCACCCCTATGTTGCCGTCCCCCGATAGTAGTTTGTCGTAAGTCGAAAGGCTGCTGACGGCTGTCTGGCAGTGGCAGGGGACTCTCATGGGCACAGTAGAGTGCCTGGGAGGGGACAAGAGAATGCAGCTCTTTATGGTGCTGCAGGATTATTTGCCTTGTTGGCAGGGGACGGAGAGCTCAGCCAGAGTAGGTGGTGGTGGTGGGGAGCCCCCCTTGACTGAGCGTTCTTCATTTTAGTTACTCTGTCCCAGATCTCCAATAGGACGCTTCCAGTGTTGAGCCCATTCCTGATTTTAATTTTATTAAAATATTCATTCCCTATGTTTCCCATTGCTCAAGGGGGCTTAGAAATTCAAAATATAAGAAATGCAACCAACCCCTACATAACTCCCTCCATCCTAAAAATCCTAGCAGCCTACACTCCATTTAAACCCCCCAGCAAACAGAAGAGCCTTGTAGCACCAGCTAAACAATTCTAAAAAACAGCTCCCCGCTCACTTCCTCAAGGAGTCCATGCTCTCTGGCTTGAGACTTTCCAGCAGGGCAATCTTTATAATCTTGTACCACCTAGAAGCCAATTTCCCCAAATAGAATTCTTGGTGTAACTCACCCATGTTACCACCTAAGTATGATCCCACTTGTAGACGGTAGTTTTCCTCCTCGCTCAAGATGCGGAAAGTGGTATATGCAGCATAAGTGTTAGTGTCATTGAAGTCCCTGGTATCAATCCGTAGCTGCTGTACTCCTGATTATCAGAAGAATGGAAAATATGAGCATTGTTAGAGAAAATCTCAAACTGAACTATGTTTAGGGTTATGGTGATACCAGGGACCCTCATCCCAGGGGCACATGGATCACACTGGGGTGGTGTTCACACGTTTGAGATAATGGGGGGGGGGGGAAGTGAGGCTATTTGCTCTGCAGAAATTTGACCCGCATTTGCGGAAACACACCGTCCCTGGGAACTACGGGTGAATTGGGTTTGGGTTTTTTTGCCGTGTGTTTCCGGTGCACTTCAATGGGGGATCAATGACTTGCATCTCCGGACCGAGTGCTCCCTATGCAGTGCGCGATGATGCGCATACTGAACCAGGGGTAAAAACAACGGCATGGCATCGGGATGGCCTATCAGACCATCCTGACACCATGAGATCGCGCTAGCACGATCACACAGGGGAAAGTCCGTTTCTGGCCCATAGCAAACCCGTTTGCTACTGGGTTTTCCCCGGTGTCTTTTTACTCCACTTCTGTGGCGAAGCAAAATGGGCCACCGACGACTCCGGGACGCTTGGCAGATGTTTGTGTCTGATCGTGCCCTTTAAATCTGCCCGGCCTTCGCGTCTATGGCGCAGCTAATTCTGCGTGTGATCGCAACCTGGGATTATGAGCCATTTGGGTCCGAGGACATAGTAACAGAAAATGAGATAGAATGGGCTATTTGTTCTCATCAGTGTCCCTGTACTGGATGTTTGGCTGCTTCACAGAGACAAACCTATAATGACAGTAATGACCTAATCCTAGCTTTTGCTATATCACAACCTTCTTGCACAGTTAGACAAACGGTGCCTTTTATTCTTTATTCTCACAAACTGCATTTCAGCAGAATTCGGTCCACCACCTGAATGGAACAAATGATGCAGGAAGGAGAACGCTCTCCTAGGAATCTCTCTCTCTCCTTCACTTTTAAAATAGCATAATGTACAGTGGTGGCATCAGAAGTAGGCTTCAGAACAGGAGAAACCCCTTCTGTTCTTTGCTACTTCATGCAATTTAATTCCAGGGTAGGGGGGTCTGTGTCCCCTTGTATAGCCACAGAAGGCACTTCTACAAACCCTGGAACAACTTTGAGACTACTGACAAGGTTACATGATATTCCTGAATTTGATTGTGGATCTGAGAACGCATTTTAATGCTGACAATATAATCTTATGGTCAGCAGTATGTAGAACGCTGTCTTGTCTTCATGGTTTATCAGGGCTTTTTTGGTAGAAAAAGTCCAGCAGGAACTCATTAGCATAATAGGCCACACCCAACAGCAGAAATGCATTAGCATATTAGGCCACACCCCTAGGGTTGCCAAGTATTACCTCTCGCTGGAGTGGGGGGACTCCCGGCTGTCTCCTGGAGCACACGCGCCGCGATCACATCACGCGGAAGTGACATGATCATGCTGGGCACGCTGGGGGCGGGGGCACGACCATCCGAGGGAAAACCATAGAGTTTTCCCTCGGATGACCGTGGCCCCGCCCCCAGCGTGCCCGGCGTGGTCGCATCACTTCCGGGTGACATGCATGTCACGTACTTTGGGGGTGGGGTTCCCCCCGGGGCCCGATCCGTCGGCGGTGAGGAATGGGCCTCTGGGGCAGGGGTTTCCCCGCCCCCCAGGGGGACTTGGGAAGCCTACACACCCCTGACAGCACAGCTCCCTCCCAGGATTGTCTTCCCCAGGTGCCCCACACCGAGGGAAGGAAGGCAGTTTCTGGATTGGCTTCCCCAGGTGCCCCGTAGCTGCGGGGCGCCTGGGGAACCCAAGCAAGGGAGGCAGTTTAAACTGCCTTCCCTCCCTGGATTGGCTTGGCTTTTCCAGGCACCCCGTGTCTTGTGAGGCACCTGGGGAACCTGAGGAGGGGGAGGCTGCAGGCGTGGCCAACTCGGAAGCCAGCCGGAACGTTCCTGCCCTGTGGTTTATTATGTCAGTTTGTGTGTATGTGTCTCTCTCTTCTGATACATTAAAAGATGGAATCGCTAAGGGCCAATACTAATTGTAGCTACAAAGTAGTCCCAATAAAATTTATCCCACTGCAATATTTATCCTGGTCCTGCAACCACCTTTCCTCCCTAGTTGACCCTTCTGAACCAGTATTCCAGAGTTTCCATAGATTCCATGGCCAAAGGTGAGGTCCCGGGAACCAGTCCAGCAAGCCACGCCTTCCACAGAAATCCCCGGTTGCTTCCTCATTTCCCCTAGGATGCACTAACATTGAATAGAAATGGAAATGACGTTGTACCAGAATTTGTGAGAAGATGGATTTTATCATTGCCCAGCCAGAATTCTGAAGCGTGGTTCCCAAAACCTTTCTTGTAGGACTGCCACCCACGGTAGAAATCCACTGATCCATCCTGCCGCCTCTGGAATACCTGCGGGCAGAAGGAGGTTATATCACTGTGCTCCAGTGGAAAGGTAAACAGCAATTCTTTTCTATACCAGTGTGTGGGTGGCTCTTTCAGGCCCACTCAAGGAGTTCCAAACTGGTCTCACACAATAGCAAGGTGCAGGGCAATTGCTACTTGCCCACTTGATCTGGAAGGGCCTTAGGCACAAAAGGAGGAGAAGACTCCCCACCCTGAGCCGGGCCCGTAGCCAGGTTTTTTCCCAGTCAGGGACATTTAAATTTCTTAGGGGGCACCAGCTAATAGAATTAGAGGTAATTTAATTAAAGTTAAATAGACTTTCTGGGGGAAATAGAGAGGTGCTCTCTGGCTCCGCACTGCCACCAGGCAGCTGCGCAGGAATACCCGGCTACTTCTCTGCACTCACCGTCACTCAGGGCCCTGGGCTGGATGGAAAGTTGTGGGACCTTGCCAGTAAGACGGGGGGCCTAGCCCCGAGATGCCCCACTGTAGATACGGGCCTGCCTTGAGCAAGGATTCTAAAGTACAGATTTGCAGGTGTGTTTCTTTAATGGGTTGAGACTGGTAGTTCTGAACACAACAGTCTCCAACTGTGGATTCTTCTGATCTAATTCTTTCTTGTAGCAGACTTGGGCATGTCTACACTACAACTTGTATCAGTCTTGTACCATTCTTGCTGGCAAGGATTCTCACAAAGAATTCTGACAAATGTAGTATTTTGGGGGATCCTCTGACTGGCTGGAAAAAGGGACCTTTTTTAAAAGCTGTGTCCAGGGGTAGTTAATTTAAATTAGCCTGATTCTAGGACTGGGTAGGCTGGAATAGTGTAGGGGTTTCTTAAGGTCAAGATATTTAACAAGCATCCTGAGGCATCTCTTAACCAGGCGGGGGGGGGGTTATTTATTTAAAACATTTCTATGCCAGCTTTCTACCCAAATAGGGCCCCCGAGGCAATAACGATCAAAACATTTCAACACTGAAAACATTTCAGATCAAGAATGTATACAATAAACAATATTCACAAGGTATGGAAAGGAATGGGACTTGTGGCAGGTGAACAGCCTTGATTGGGGGACAGAGATGGGAAATAGCTTTTTAAAAGATTGCAAGGGCTATATATATTACAGCAATGCAGAGACTGAGCACGTAAGAACATAAGGGAAGCCCATGTTGGATCAGGCCAATGGCCCATCTAGTCCAACAGTCTGTTAATTTATTGTATATATTCTTAACAATACTGTTCAACAATACTGTTAAATAATACTGTTCAACCCTCGGATATTAACTGAAGTTATGTGCAGGGATCATAACAGAGGTGGATTCAGATAAGGGCATAGTTAGTTTCTGTATTTTATTTTCAGGCCCTATCGAGTTTTGAGATAATGCACTTAATCATCGATTTGATTTCTCTGTCATTTGTAATTGCCTTTCTGAATCTATAAAAACACACCCATTTTTGAGTGAATGCGGTTGAACTGTGATTGAGAGGTTAACAGAGGAATTTTCAGCTGGAATTTGTACCGGGGGGGGACCATATGCTCCCAATTCAAAAATCTTCAAGGTAGCGGCTAAGTGTCACTTCTTGGGCTTCCTTTACTTTACTACAATGTTGGTTAAAGTTGTATTCTTTAGATGGGGAAAACCTGTTGATCACCAAGGTGCCTTCACAGGGCTTGATTAAAGCTGAAGATGGTAACTCTGAGGTGGGCCGTCCTTAATTTCCAAAAGTTTGGATCTCAGTTGCTCCAGTCTATTGATAATTTCCTCTTGCTCTAAAAGAGGTAAAGCTGTAAAAGAACTGATCAAGTCTTCTTCAAGAGAAATGTCAAGAAGATGACGTTCATTGATTTCTAAAGGGGCCGAAGTGTCAGCCCAGCTTATTAGATCCTGATGGGAGGCTCTAGATGGAATGTCTTTAAGAGGATCAGTTGTGGCTGGAGGACCAGAAGGGTTCAAAGTTCTTGGACTCAGAAGTGGGACTCGTATTGTGTTGGAAAAAACGTATTGGAAAAATTTCTCTGGAATTTAAAAATCTTTTCTGTCTGAAGAGTAACAGGGGGATGGATGAACAATCAAAAGTTAATACTAATTTACACACCTGGTGAGAGTTACTAAGAAGGTCTACTGACTTAATTTGAAACCCTACTCTGTGATAGTAATGGTGGCAAAGAAACAATATTTCTCTGCCACCACTACGCTTGCACAGTGTACACCTGCAGTACTCTTCTGGGTGGACAGGGGCTAATTGGATTCTAGCCTACAGGAAGAAGTGGCCTGCTGTGATAATTTTACTAAGTAGTTTGCTGATAAAATTTCTTGTACCCATTCCAACTTGGACAATACATTAGCGGGGACAAGATCAGTGGTCTCAGGTTGTCGATTTCTCGGATACCTTTCAGCTCGTACAGTCTGATGATGTAGACAGGGTTGAGTTTGAAATGTCCCGCCTGTTTGTACAACCCCTTTTGGCCACTTTAATCTACTAGGGGAGACTGGCGGACTGGGACCAGGAGACAATACATGTCTCACTGAGAGGGTGGTGGTCTCTCCTGTCTTGAAGTGGGCAGTGGTGTGTCTGCCCCTAAGTAAATCTACCCTGGACACAGATGAGCTGAATAACCACCTTGTACCTGAATAAAACTTGGTCTTAAAGGTGCCACTGGACTGTTTTGGGCCGGGGGGGCGGGGGGAGCTCTGCAGCTTACCTGGCTGCTTCTTGCTCTGACTGAGGGCTGTTGGGAGCAGGGGGCGGGGCTTGTTGCACCCCTGCTTTTGAGTCAGTGTAACCTCAGCCTCCTGTGAATAAAAACCTGCAGGGGTCATTTCCTGCAGGAGCGCACATCAAGTCTCAAATGTACCATTCTTGAGCAAAGTGTTTGAACAAGTGGTAACTGAGCAGCTTCAGGGATTACTGAACGAATCAGATCGTTTAGATCCATTCCAGCATACCTTAAGGACTGTCTTCTCCTGTCCACCCTGGTCATCTTTAGAGGCCCTACTTCTGGTGCCTCTGTCATCTGAGGCGAGGCAAGTGGGAACCCAAGAAAGGGCCTTCTTGATTGTGGCGCCAAAACTTTGGAACTCCCTCCCCAGGGAACTTGACTGTCTCTCCCTATTGTTGTCTTCCACCAGCAGGTGAAGACTTTTTCACTTTGCTTGGCATACCCCCAATAACTATTATTGGCCCGCTTCCCTTGTTTTGGAGTTAGGTGTGTTTATAGTTTTTGTGCAGGAGACACATTTGAAAGTACTAAAACCTCTCTTTCTTAACCCCCCATTTTACCAAATCCAAAGAACAGCCCCCAGCTCATCAAAGTCAAGAGGAGTTGCCATTTTATTGTCAAAGGATATTCCATTTGTTATTGAGGGTGAAGAGCTGGACCAGAGGGGGCACTATTTATTCTTAAAGGGACATATTAATGACAAACAATTGACTTTGGCCACACTCTATGTACCCAACTTAGCCCAAGTTGACTTTTTAGAACTTGTATTTGAAAAGTTGCTTATATTTCAAGAGGGGGAATTAATCTTGGGAGGGGATTTTCATTTAGTTTTAGGCCCCTCATTAGACACAACTAGCTCTAGAAAGCACATGGGCCCTTTGACTAGAGCCTCAGTTAAATTTAGGAACCTTCTTGAAAAATACCATCTTTTTGATTCCTGGTGATATCTATACCCCAAGGGCAAAGGAATACTCTTACTATTCAGCCTGTAATGATGTATATACTTGTACAGATTTTCTTTTATCATCCCAGGGTCTTTTATCAGGGTTGAAATTGGCTACTCTAGGCCCAAGGCTGCTTATGGACCACTCCTGGATTTATTGTTCTTTGGATTAGGGGAAGAAATGCCTTTCAGACAAATCATGGTCATTTAACACAATGTTTTTGAATAGACAAGACTTTAAGGACCAGATCGACTATGAATTGAAATTATACTTTGAATCAAATAAGTCGGTAGATATATTAGATGCTATCTATTGGGACGTTATGAAGGCAGCTATGTGAGGAAAGCTGATCTCAATGGCATCCCATCTAAAAAAACCAGAGAACAAAAATTAGAGAATGAATGATTGCTAACATAGCTGGGTTGAAACAGGAACATAAAGTTATCAATAATTGTTAGCCAAACGTAAATTGTTTGATATTTTTGATTAACAATAGTTTAAAAAATAGCTAATTTTTATGAAACAAAAATACTGGAACTGCTCTCCTAAGTCTTTAAAGCTTTTAGCCTGGAGAGCTAAGAAGGAGAAGAATTCCCACCATATTCAGGGCTTGTTAGAGTCTAAGAAAAAAAAAAAGAAACACTCTTCTAGGGAGATTGTGAATATTTTAGTGGATTATTACACAAAGTTATATTCGTCCTCAGGGCCCAAAGAACAAACAATTGAGGACTTTTTCTCCTCTAACACACTCTCCTCCTCATCAGACTCAGATAGAAGCTTCATGGACAATCCAACAGGAAATTTTAAACTCAGGCACCAATGGCTTTAGGGATAAATTTTATAAAGCATTTTCCATTTGCTTATTGGTCCCTTTGACCATTGCATGTTCTTCCCTCTTGGAGAATAGCCTCTGTTGTTCCTATTCTAAAAGAAGGTAAGGATGCCTTGAATCCTATGTCATACTGCCCAAAAGGCTTCTTTTTTCTATGGAGTCTCTAAAGTTCAGGCTTGAAGAAGCTGCCACCCGAGGAGCTTGTGCCTCAGTCACATCGGTCTTTTCCTCCAGCAGATCAAACTCACCAGCCATCCTCCGCCATCAGTCTCCATGTCACAGAAGACAGTCATTGCTTTACTGGGGACTGGATAGATCGTGTACCAGCCATTCAGTGTCTCTCCGAGTTCGAGAAGCTCTTTGCAGCTTCTGGTTCTGGTCTCTAGAGGAAATGTGTAATATATTTATATATTTTCATGTATGTTTTAAATGTTTTATACATGTCTTAAATCTCAACGATTGTACTCTTAAAGTTGTTTTAACTGAAACGTGCTGGTTACGTACGGAATTAAACTGATACTGGTACAGAAAAGACAGTCTGGGACAATTCACACTATTACACTTTGGAAATGTTACACGAGTGAAACTGTCATTGTATTAACTGGTCCTGTGTCAGTCTATTAAGCAACCTGGAGAATAGACAGAGCTAGAGTCAAGTCCAGTGGCTCCTTAACAGACCAACAACATTTTTGGAGTATGAACTTAAGAGAGTCAAAGCTCCCTGTGTCAAATACCAGTATCTTGTATGTGACAAAGTGAGATCTGACAATACTTGTGCCTGATGAAGGGAGCTCTAATTCTTAAAAGCTTATATCCTGAAAAATTTGTCCATCTCTGCAGTAGTTGAATCTAACTCTTCTGCTGCCAACCAACAAAGCTACCCTACCAAACTATCTGAGAATAGGCAGTGCCATAACTCTCTGGCTAGAGGAGGTACATGCCTATGGTAAGGAAGTTTGTTCCTGTTCCAAAGAGAACCAGATGTTTCACTCAGAAGCAATTGCGCAGCATTTGCAGTTGCGTCATCTGAAAGCTTTATTTTAAACCCTATAGCCCTTTTTTTTAGTATTTAAATTTAGCAAGAGTGTTACAGTGGCTACAGCAGAGATTTGGATAAATGAGGAACACTGGGAGGTATATGCAGAAGAGAATGTGATTGGAAGATGTACAGGAAAAGACAAGTACAAAAAACTCAGCTTCTTCAAAATGCTCTTTTTCTTCATGTCCCTTCAGAACATATTGCTGGAACCATGACACTAGAAACTTGCATTATAAAACTGAGTGTATAATCTCAGGAATCTGCGGGCAGCTGAACTAAATATTCCATGGCTGGGGCTCAAAGATAATGATCAGAGCCATGGCTCAGTTCAGACCAAATGTGAAACCATGGTTTGATTACACTTTCTATGCTTAGTGTGATTGTCCAAACATGAGACACTCCACCAACCATAGTTAATTAGGATACAGCAAAACAAGTTCTGAAACCATGGTCTGAAGTTTATTTATTAGCCTTAATTATAGTTTTGCATGATACACAAATGCTGACACAGTTGCTGAAACCCCACTTGCTTCCCTGCAGCACCCTCACACATTCCCTAGTCTGGCCATAGGGAAGGCAACAAAAACAACATTTGATGAGGCACACCAGGATTTCAGTGAATGTGACCTGAATCCTAACCATCATAATATAATAATTCCCTTATGTATTGGCCATTTCCAGCTCTCCCATTGGCTGTGCAGTGTGCTCCACCAGCCACTGGCCCATTAACCCCCACTCAAGAGTAATCATGTGCCATTGGCTGGGTGCTGGGTCTGCTCCTCTTCCCTGCCCACTGCCACCTCAGGCACTGTCCCGTCAGAATAACTGCCAAACAGCTGTCTCTCCTGACGAAGACACTTCTTCTGCTTGGCTCCTGTGGCTGCTTTTCCCGCAGTGGCTGTTGCTAAGCAACCAAGATTGGTTCTGTCAGTAAAAAGACAAAGGAATGAAGCCCTTTCCAGGCCTTTGTGGGGAACTTATTGGAGTCAGTCCTGACTAGGGTTGCCAGCTCCAGGTTGTGAAATGCCCGGAGATTTGAGGGGTGGAGCCTGGAGAGGGTGGGGTTTGAGGAAGGGTGGGACCTCAGACAGGTACAATGCCATAGACCCCACCCTTCAGACCAGCCATTTCCTCCTGGGGAACTATTGTTACCAATCTCCAGGGGAGGGCTGGAGATCACTCAACATTACAACTGCTCAGGAGGGAGGGCAGAAGTCAGCTGCTGCCAGGGGGCAGATAATGTTAGGTTGATGGTTAGCTGGGAAGGAGGTGGGGTTGCCAACTCCAGGTTGGGAAATTCTTGGAGATTTGAGTGGTAGAGGTTGGAGAGGGTGGGGTTTGAGGAGGGGCTGGACCTCAGACAGGTACAATGCCATAGACTCCACCCTCCAAACCAGCCATTTCCTCCTGGGGAACCATTGTTGCGAATCTCCAGGGGAGGGCTGGATATCACTCAAAATTACAACTGCTCTTCAGGTAGCAGAGACCAGTTCTCCTGGAGAAAATGGTGGACTCTGTGTCATTATACCCGGCTGAGGCTGCCACAGCAAATTGATGCTGAGTGCCCAAGTCCGAGGCAATCTACCAGAGCCTCTTTCTAGAACTTGTATTTATTTCCACAATGGGCCTTATTCCTAGTAGTTAAAATAAACCATGTTTTCACATTACGTCAGAACCAAGCCAACGGAATAGAACAGAGGAAGGAAGTATAGAGAGATATCTTTTTGTATTAGGTTCTTTTGAATTTAAATGACTGAGGTGCAAACAATGTGTGCAGGTAGGTATGATGAAGTAAGGTCAGCAAGGCCTGAGCAATTGTGTCGCTGTGATTTTCATATGTGAATGTGTTGTTCACTCAGTTGTAGTCCATAAAGTCCACTGCAGTACTGTAATCAGTGACTGGATTTGGGGAATGGATTTAAAATACTGACTGCCAGAGATCTCTGACTACTTCCATAGACCAAGTACGTCATTAGTTTGTATTGACCACAGCAGTCTTGAGAGACCTCTGCACAAGACTTGCAATGCTCCTTGGATACCACTCAGCAGTGGTGGGCATGGATGTGTGAACCCCAGACTGATGCTGGTAAGGAATGCAAAGGTCAGCAGTGGCGGACACACTTTCCTGAAAAAAGGATTATTCATCACTTCCAATCTTCTCTGGCAGTGTTCAGCTATGTGAGTTAAGGCAGATTCTCACTACATGTGTAGCAATGACAAAATCCAAATAGCTTCTTGGTGCCATAGAAGTTCTAGAAAATGCCCCAGAATTGTTTATAACATGCAAGAAGATTTCATGGTGGAGAAGGTAATGTGGAGTGTGATCTCACAAGGTTGAAAGGTTAACTCTCATAATGTGGTTGTCATTATGATGTACCACAGTGATCCTCCACCTGTGATTAGTGAGCTGCCTATGGCTTATAATAGTCTAAATGTAATTTTTGAAATTAATAAAATTAAAAGACGCCTGCTCCTTGGGAGGAAAGCAATGGCGAACCTAAACAGCATGATAAAAAGTAGAGACATCACCCTGCCAACAAAGGTCCACATGGTCAAAGCAATGGTATTCCCAGTAGTCATGTATGGCTGCGAGAGTTGGACTATAAGGAAGGCCGAGCGCCGAAGAATAGATTCTTTTGAACTATGATGCTGGAGAAGACTCTTGAGAGTCCCTTGGACTGCAAGAAGATCAAATCAGTCAATCCTAAAATAAATCAACCCTGACTGTTCCCTGGAAGGCCAGATAATGAAACTGAAGCTCAAATACTTTGGCCACCCAATGAGAAGGGAGCACTCACTGGAGAAGACCCTGATGCTGGGAAAGATTGAAGGTCAAAGAAGACGGGGATGGCAAAGGATGAGATGGTTAGACAGTGTCATCGATGCAACGAACATGAAACTGAGCAAACTTCAGAGGACGGCGGAAGACAGGAGGGCCTGGCGGGATCTGGTCCATGGGGTCACAAAGAGTCGGACTTGACTGTGCGACTGAACAACAACAACAATTTTTGACGTGGTCAACTTTTACTGCATTTTTGACCACTTTACCACTTTATATCTACTTTGACCACTTTATATCTACAAAGGGAAGCCTAATGGCATTAAATTTGCAGGTCAGTTAGTTTTATTTCTCAATACCAAAGGCTAAATGGATCATTACTTGGCCATCTCTTACCTGGTCCAACACGGTTCATTTCTTACACTGCCTATGACTCTTACACTGCCTATGACTCTGCCTTGGGTGAACTAATGCTGGCCACCTTAAATTCTTCTCCTTCGGAATCCCAAGAAAACAGAGCTAGCAAAAAGAAAGATTGCTGTCCTCTTATATCAGTTAAAACAACTCGAGTTTGTACTCCTGAAGACCATTGCGATTTTGAAGAGAGTTTGGACTCTGTTTAAAATTAGGATTTGGGTAACCAGGACCAAATGCTGATATTTTGATATTTTGATGCTATAAGAGTGGTGGGACTGTGGCAATGTTCCCCCAAGGTTTAATCATTCCTTGGAAGGAGGTTTTGTTTCTTCCCCTCCTGACCCTTGAGGTCTCCTAGTACTGAGTCTAATTATAATTTAGTTCAAAGATTAATTTGATAATATATTGTAAATTTATTATAATGAGCTAAGATGGTTTGAAAATCTTATAAACATTATCATGTAATAATTTTGGGAGAAGAAAGACGATGAAGAAGATACGAAGATGAAGCATGCTAGTGAAGTTTCGTTTTTCATAATATTAATGATTTTGGTGGTGTTAAATTATAAAATTCTTTCTTCAATAAAACAAAATTCAAATAAAAAAAAAACTAGTAATGGGATGGTGAATAGACATACCTTGCTGCTGGCTGCTGGTACAGCTGCATGAATCTCCTGTAAGAAGAGGAAACCAGTTTCTTGTGGTGGGAACAAAACATGGTACCAAAAGCATATGAAAAATTAAAGCAAGACCTGTTTCAGAGGCTCCACATCCATTTTATTTATTTATTTATTTTATCTGTCTATCAAATTTATATCCTATTGCCTCTCCCCCGAATGGGACTCAGGGTGGCTAACAGCATATAAAATACACCAATAAAAACAATACAAAGATACAATAAATAATCTTTAAAATATAAAACAGTTAAAAATCTATCCCCATTAAAATCTATCCACTATCAAGCAGAGTAGGATGCATGGATGGCAAAGACACAGCTGAAGTATACCAGCTGCTGCCGGATCACAATCACCCAAAGGCCACCTGAAAAAGAGCAGTCTTGCATGCCCTGTGGAACCTAGAAGGTCCTGCATGGCACGCTCCTCTTCAGGCAGCTGGTTCCACAGGACGGGGGCCTGTGGTGAGACAGCCCTTGCCCTTGTTGACACAAGGGAGGCAGTTCATGGACCAGGGACCTTCAATAAATGCCTAGATGAAGATTGGAGAAGATGGGGAGGATAATGCTGAGAGAGGTGGTCCCAAAGGTACAAGAGTCCCAGGCCATTTAGGGCATTAAGGTAAGTATCAACACTTTGAATTGGTACTGGAAATTAATTGGGAGCCAGTGCAGCTGCCATAGAATAGGTGTGATATGAGCTGATCTGAACACTCCTGTCAGCAATCTGGCAGCTGTGTTCTGGACCATTTGCTCCTGTGAGGTAGGCGGGGCTGAGAGAGCTCTTGACAGAAACTGCTCTTTTTCAAGAACAGCTCTTATCAGGACTACGGCTTGCCCAAGGTCATCCAGCCAGGTGCAAGTGGGGGAGTGGGGAATCAAACCCGGTTCTCCCAGATTAGAGTCCGCACACTTTAACCACTACACCAAACTGGCTCCTTAAATGAGGGGTAGAGGTAGGTGTCATCTGCATGTTGATGGCATTCCACTACGAACCTCCTAACAATCTCCGCCAAAGGGCCCATATAGACGTTAAGTAACATTCAGGATGGAATCATCCCCCTGCGGAACTCCACGGGTCAGGGCCCACGGTGATGACCTCTCTCCACCCATGATTACCCTCTGGAACCCCCTGGAGGAATGAGGAGAACCAGCTCAAGGCCATGCCCCTCACACCTAGGGAGGCTAGGCAGCTGACCAGGACCAAATGGTCTACTGTGTGAAAGGCAACAGACAGATCCAGCAGGATCAGCAGCACCATCCCGCCTGCATAAAGGTGTAACCGGAGGTCGTCAGCCAGAGCAAGCAGAGCTGTCAGTCCCAAATCCTAGCTAGAAGTGGATTGGAAGGGAGCTAGGGCAGATGTCTCTTGGAGCACCTGGTAGAGTGGGTTAAAGGAGTCCAAAAAACTGGACCCAATTGCACACACAGGGCCCTGAGATTCCTACTGACTCAAAATCTGGCAGCCAAGTCTTGGCGAAGGAGCAAGACTTTATCTGACAAGAAAGTTGCAAATGTGCCACAGCTAATAACCAAATTTTCATCTACTTTTGGAGCCACAGAAGAGGTGATAAACTGCACTAAACTGCACAGCTGGACACAACGTGGCAGATGCAATGGAGGCAGAAAAGTAAGAGGGCTTTGCTACCTGCACTGCTACTTCATAGGCCTTCAAGTGAGCTCTATAAAGTGCTCTTGTTGCTTCATCATGAGTTTGTCCTCTACACCCCCCTTTTTACCATCCTTAGTTCATCTGTATACCAGGAATCCAAGGTAGTACAGGGACAAAGGGGGCGCCAGGAGGTAACTCGGTCAATGGCCTCTTGAAAGCCCAGATTCCAGGCATCAGTGGGTGTGTTTGGATGGGCCGTTTAGTCTGATTTCAGCCCGCCTCAGAAACGGATTTTATCTGTGCAATCACAGTCAACATCTGCCTCCCATCCCCAGCCCAGAGTATTTTGATACCAGGTCCCCAAGTGGTGTTTTCCTGATTCTCTGATTCCAGATGCACTTTTCTGACGTCTGATCACTCCCCCGGTGTTGAGTCACTTCTGGTTTAAACCCCCTCCCAGCTTGAAAGCTGCCCGAGGCTTCCGCTTTTTGTGCACCATTTTTTTAAAGCATTGGCGGTGTGCGCATAGGCAGAGGTCTGCCACCGCACTATTAAAAACAATGTTTAAATGGTGCCTAGTTTTAGCATTTAGACGAGTTCAGGATCTCATGGAGGCCATTTTTGGGGTAAACATTTAAAGGGAAGTATTCCTTTAAAGTTTAAAGGGAAGTATTACAGCTGTCAGGTTGAAGTGGAAATCACTGTTGTGTGCACGCGTGAAAATTTTAGTTCTACAGATGGCTGCCTGTGTGCATGCCCAAACTGAGAGAGTGAGAAAAACAACACCAACGCATGCTCCCGCCTGTGGACGGTGGGGAGCAATGTGGCTACGCAGCGATCCGGAGCAAGGATCCACCACACCGTCTGACCGCACCCAGTGAGTTCATCAAGAGAGCCGCTGGCAGAGCCAGACAAATCCCACAGATAATTCTGGAACCCAATTGCATCCATGAGTCTCTGTGGGCGAGCAGAAATAAGCTCGCCACCTCTTTAGGGGGAGGAGGCAAATCACAGACTGACCTTCACAAGGTAAATGATCAGTCCGTGGCACCGGTTTTCAAAGAACCGCTGAATCCAGATCAATTCCCGCACAAAAAGACCAGATCCAGTGTGTGGCCTGCTCTGTGCGTGGGGGCCAATACAACCTGGGAGAGTTCTAATGATGTCATGGAAGTCATAAAGTCTAAGGAGGCACCGGGCAAGGCAGCATTGGTGTCTGGGTCTGCACACCATCATTCCTTGGGATTAGAAGGGGAGCAAGCATGCCCGTATCTCAATCTCCCCCTAAACCTAACTCTCTGCCCACCACGATACCTCCCACCTCCCCATCTTACAGGGACCCCCTGGCACATCTCACGGCTTACTCTTGTTTCCATCTCCACCTGTGGGAGGATCTAACCAGCTGTGCAGCAGATTTATAGTGCACCAACCCCCCCCCCCATCAACCAAACCCACAATAGTCCAACCCAAGCAATGGACCTCCAGTCCTACTCACCCTTGTAGTCGATACCCTACCCCACCCACCCCAATCACCAGCCAGCCATGATTTGCAAGAGCTGATGCTTCTGCTGGGACAGAGCTGCAGCTTCTGGACTCTGCCCAGCACTTTGCCTGATCTTCTGGCGAGGCAGTCCCAAGCACCCCCACTCTGGCCCCCGTTATTATCCAGCTAATTAGCAATAATCACCAGCCAGCTGTGGTCTGCAGGAGCTGTTGTCTCTGCTGGAACAGAGCTCCAGCTACTGGACTCTGCCTGGCGCTTTCCTGATGTTCAGGCAAGGCAGAGCTCTCCTGTCCTGGAGGAAAATGTGGCAGTGGCCACTATTTCTGCCTGGGTTTGTGGTCACCATGAATTGGCTGCAGCTGTTCTTTTTGCAGAGAGCTCAGACAACACAGAGCAGCGAAGACTTGGAGGTCTCCCCATTCACCCTCAATGGATTTGTAGCCACATTACCTTGGTCTCCTTTATCTCCCTTGGGTCCAGCTTTCCCAGTTGCTCCAGCAGATCCTCTCTCCCCTGAGGAAAAGAGATCAGCGATGGATTGAGGAACATGTTAGAAGCATCCTTTCCAAGCTTTGCAATGAGTTTGACAGAAGACAGGGATAACCAGACAGTACAGCAAAGGAGTATGTCAAAAGGATGGGAAAGGAGTCTGTTTTGGGGGGGTCACATGCTTAAAACCATCTCATGGTTGTAAGAACTAGGCTGAATGGCAAAGAGGTGATGGAGGATGCTCACTCTCAGCCTATGCTAGCAGTGCCTAAAGGACGGAAGATGAAAAAGCTGATGTAGGAAGGAACGGATTGTTTGGCAGACTCAGCGGGTCTCATCTTTACAGATATTGTGGGACAGCATCGATTCTAGCCACACGAAAGCAGCTGACGCCCACACCCATAAAATGCTGGAGGGGAGGAGCTGTGGCTCAGAGGTAGAACCTCTACTGTGCAAGCAGAAAGTTTCAGGGTCAGTCCTCAGCCTCTCCAGTTAAAAAGTGTCAGGTGGTGGGAAGGACAAATTGTGCAGTTAGATCAGGAGAGGGAGAGAGAGAGAGCAAGAGCAGTGAACAGCTGCTTCCATGTGGCAATGATTCTCTGTCCAGCATTCAAAAATTACTTGCAATTGCTGGATTTCTATAGCTCAGTAACATTGGCCCAATCTGCATCTAGCATTTGCTTTGCTGTTGTACGAAACCCACACTGGAACAGAAAAAGATGCGGCTCAAAACCACATTCAAATACCCCGGGGCCAACACCATACTGACTGCAGAGTCACCCCTGAATAGCCATAAAACGGCCATAAATGTATGTAGAGGGCTACCATAAAACCGAGAGGTCAAAGGAAGTGAAAGAGGCACGCAGTCTGGACACGGCCGTAAAATCCGACAATCGATCAAAGTGAAAGTGGCATGCAATGCAGGTGGGAATTTCTGTTCCAGTGTGGGTTTGGTAAGACAGCGGAGCAAATGCTAGATGCAGATTCGGCCATTTATAATGATCTACTTCTCCAGCCGGCTGGATCCTTTGACCTGGAATTCAGGGGAACGAGTCACGGTGGCAATAGATCATTATAACACCTTTGTGCTATACTGATCTAGCATTTTCTGATTTAAAAAAAAACCACAGAAAAAGTTCTCTATGGCAGCCAAGGAGGGGAAGGTGGCAGCCATTGGGGCTGAAACAAGGAAAATGGCATTGATGCGTGTGGGGTCTTAAAAACGCATGCCTTCCCATATACACAGTGTGCAAAGGTCCTTTAACTTTGATATCTTTGGAAAGATTACATCAAACCAAATTTGAGAAAGACTGCAGCCAAAGCAGAGGGGGGAAAAGCCCGAGAAAGTGGACAATGAGGGGACAATATTGTGCGGATGCTCCATGAAATCCCACTCCAGCTTGGATATCCACGTGCAGCCGTATTGCCATTTATTTATTTGTGTTCATTATTTTGTAGTCTAGTTTTCTCCCTGAGACTCAAGGCAGATTACACAATGCAAGGCAATACACTCAACAGAATGGGACAGCCAATAAATAATGCAATAGGATTTGGGGTTCGGAAATCTGAAAACAAGCGGAAATCTGAAACACAGCATGAGAATTAACATCACATGTGAAATACTGCGGGGGGGGGGAGCAGGAAACATGCCCAAATAATTCAGTTTTGCGTAGCCTGAGGAAAGCCGAGAGAGTGGGAACCTTCCTAGCCTCAATCAGGCAGGCCATTTCACAAGGTGGGGACCATAACAGAGAAAGCACACGTACTGGCAGTTGTCAATTTTGCCCACTTGAAGCACTGCATCTGCAGAAGGCCTTACTCAGATGAATGAAGCCGTCAGGGTAGAGTACAGCGGAAGAAGCGGTCCTGCAGATATGAGGGAGCAAGGCCATGAAAGCCTTTGCATGTAATGGCCAATACTTTGAACTGAGCCTGGACAGACAATTGAGTGACTACAGAAGGAAAGCAACGTGCATGCTCTGCCTAGGTCTGGATAATAAGTGAGCCGCAGCGTTCTACACCAACTGGAATCTCTGAGTTAACTTCAAGGGGAGATCTATGTAGAGTGCATGGCAGTAGTCTAGTCTTGATGTTACCATAGTGTGGATCCAGGTGGCCATTTTGGCCATTTTGGAACAATTTAAACGAATTTTCTTAGCTCAGGAAGGAGGAACAACTTAAACTAGGGGTGTCGAGCTCATTTGTTATGAGGGCCGGATCTGACATAAGTGAGACCTTGTTGGGCTGGGCCATGTGTGTCATAAAATGTAATGCCCGGTAGCGGAGATATAAACTTTATAAAGGACACAAACACAAAGATTTTTTTTAACTTAAAATAAAAACATGCTTAGAACATTAGCACTCTTGCAATATTTTGTTTATTTAACAGTATCTGATGACACCTCTTGCTCTGAATTATTGCATCAAAATGTCTGTGCTGTTGCGATCTTGAGTATGCTGTTCAAGTTTGTATCTTTAAACTGCAAACCTACTTTTCATTTATTGACATTCACCACAGAAATCTCATGCTCAGAGTTCTGAGTCTAGGACCCAGGTTAAAACATGAAATGGCTGAGCAAGTGAGAGAGTCTGGCAAAGCAAGCTATGACGCAGCAGCAGCAGAACTGGAAGGAGGAGATGGCCAGTTCCACTGCGGGCCTGATAGAGGCCCTCTGGGGACCTGATCCGGCCCTCGGGCCACATGTTTGACACCCCTGACTTAAACCATTCCAAGGTACATCCCTCAATACATATTTCTGCCTCCAAATGCCTCAACAGGATGACACGATCTACTTATCAAAGGCTGCAGATACACCTAGTGAGAGCTACAAAGAAGCATGGCATTTTGTCTGCATTCAGATGAGTTCATTGACTAAATCCACTAGAGCCATCTCCATCCGATAGCCTGGTTTGAAACCAGGCTGAGAGAGCAGTAGTGGGCCAAATCCAGGTCTTCTTGGGCAACTCATTGGTTCTGGACCCTTTTCAGTCACTTTGCCTAGAAAAGGCAGATTAGAGACTAGGAAACAATTGGCAACATCATTTTCCTGTATGAATGGTTTCTTAAGTAGTAGGTGGAGATCGGCCTCTTTGAGTGGCCAAGGGAAAGTGCCCTGAGTTAGTGTCAGGTTCTGCAGCAAGTAAATCTCCACACACGTTTCCAAGGAAGCGTTATGCTTTATTAGATTACAAAACTGGTACCACATCCACAGGATTATTGTTAGGAATGACCATGGGGCGGAAACATCCTTCCATATAGTAGGACGAGGCAAATGGCTAAGCAAATGAAATTTGAGCGCGCGCGCGGGGGTATTCTCCCGGCGGGGGATACATGAAAATCGGGAGAGTCTCAGTGCCTCATGAGAGCCGAAAGATTCACACCAGGGGTGGAACGCAAGCCCTCCCTCCTTCACAAGGCAGAACTGGCTCCCATGGTCTCCCAAGCATTGTTTACAGCAAGTGGCAGAGCAAAACAGAGAGACGGGAACAAGCAAAACATGGCAGCTAGCTGACAGTGAGTGAGTGATTTATGATAAACATCAAGGGCTAATTAATGTGGCCCTTGCATTATTTTAGCAGCCAGGGTGGACAAAGATTCAGGGTACATTATAGCCTTCACAGATCCTAAGACCCCGTCGACATCTACCATGGTAACGGGGTCAAAATGATCCATACGTAGACAAAGTATTAGACCATGCTGCCTGCCCGATATTACATTCAGCATCCATATCAAAACGTATTCATTTTAATTTATCAGCAAAAGACAAGCAGAAACAACCAATATAAATAAGCCTTATGTGAATTGTCCCTGAACAATATACTTTTCCAGGATTTGAATCCTGTATCCACCTCTGTTTGAATACTTTTAGGGCAGGAAATCCATTCTTTCCATTCTTCTACCGTGCTGCTTTTCTGCTCGCCATACCTTCCCACCCCCCACCGTTCTGGGACTTGTAAATATAGAGCATGGGCTCTGGGGTCAATGTGGATCTCCCCCCCCCCCCGCATGTTACTCAGAGCAAATAATCTTCCTGATCTACCCAGCACCAGATCTTAAGTGGACGTCTTCTCACCTGGGGGCCCCTGAGGGCCTGTGTCACCCTTAGCTCCAGGCAATCCGCTTGTTCCTGGCACACCAGGAATTCCTGGTGTGCCCGGCTGGCCCTGGAGGAACACCTTGTCTGCTCCACACTGAGATAAGCCCTTTAGCTCTGAAACAGGAAAAGGATTATCAGCGAGAGAGTGTATGAAGTGGTGTATGTGAGGCAGTTTTCCTTAGGGACTAGTAGCCTTATGATAAACAAGGATGCTCCCTCTAAGCTGTGGAGTCCTGTGAGCAAAAATTCTACTTTGTGAGCTACTGGCATGAAAGTTGTGAGCGAGCCATTTGGCTACTGCATCAATTAGTTTGCTCTGGAGCCCTCCTTCCTGAGCTAAGACAAAAATGTGTGAGCCGGAGGCTAAAAAACTGTGAGCTAGCTCACACTCACTCATCTTAGAGGGAACACTGGTGGGGATGCTCAGAATATTGGGGAGGGGAGTGTGCAGCAGATAATGCTGGGTTCGTATGTGGTGGGTCGGGTTCATGTCCCTTTGCATCCCCTCTCAGCTTGACGTACTTCACAGGATTGTTGCCAGGATAATTGCCTTCCCCAAGTGTTTAGAACAGAATGGGAGAAAATCAAGTAAAAACCAATGCAGTTACCACCAATGCTCCCTCTAAGCTGTGGAGTCTTGTGAACAAAAATTCTACTTTGTGAGCTAGTGGCATTAAGGTTGTGAGCGAGCGATTTGGCTACTGCATAAATGAGCTAAGACAAAAATGGGTGAGCCGGAGGCTAAAAAACTGTGAGCTAGCTCACACTAACTCAGCTTAGAGGGAACACTGTTTACCACACTAGGGTTGCTGTCACCCCCCCAGAGAATGCATTCCGTGACCCTGTGTTGCAATGGCACATCTCTTTGTTTTTGTACCAATTCAAAGTTTCTAACTAACTGTCGCTTGAGCTGTTTCACACATTACGCAGTCAAACCTGAATTTGCCACTGAAAATATACTCGATAGCAGTGTTGCCAAACTCCAGGTGGTGGCTGGAAATCTCCTGGTATTACAACTTATCTCCAGGCAACAGAGATCAGTTCCCGTGGATAAAATTATACCCCACCTGAAGTCCCTCCCAAAGTTCACTTGGCATTCCCCTCACATTCACACTCACGTGCACAGCAGGTGGCTTCTGTCTCCTGCCCATAGCTTTCTTTCACCCAAGACACAACTATCAGGAATGACAGAGCCATCAGACAGTTAACCCAGGCGGTCATCTCGCCTTGCAGAGCCGACTTGTCGACCTATTTGAATGTCTTACTGAGGCAGGGCTGTCTTGCCCCTTATACCCCCTTTGCATTGCAACTTTAGCGGAATGAGGAAATGCTGAAGTTTCCCACCGAAGGGATGGTGCCAAACACCTTGGTTGTGCAATGTTTGCTTTCACAAGGATGGGCATAGTCCATGATATTCAGAGAAAAAACAGGCTGTTAGAGCAATTTTTGAAATCCCTGAATTGGGAAACATACCCACGTCAGCAACAATCTTCTGGTGCTGAATGTTCTTTCATTCTTAGGCATTGTTCTGTTTTGGTGCAGTGGTTAAGTGCGCGGACTCCAATCTGGGAGAACCGGGTTGGATTCCCCACTCCTCCTCCACTTGCACCTGCTGGATGACCTTGGGCAAGCCGTAGTTCTGATAAGAGCTGTTCTTGAAAAGCTATTGTCTGAAATGGAGTTGGCTGAGCTGTACAGGAAATGCTTGTGAATCAGAAAATGTTGGGAAGAAAAACAGGGAGGCTTTTTTATATATTTATTGTACAGGGGAGGGCTGAAAGATTGATTGTGATTGGTGCAGTTTGTTTGGATTTTTAAAAAAGTGCTTCAAGTTTCGTAGGTTCTAAATTAGCCCAGTTCTCAGCCGCTGTAAAAACCGTGGGGCTGAGAGACAGCATGGAATGTGCTCACACACGGAGAGAAAGCAACAAAGCCTTTTCACACACACACACACACACACACACACACACACACACAGCCGATTGGAAAAGAAACAATAGTTCCCCCCCTCCTTCCCCCCACCCGCACGCAACACACCCACCCACACCAGTGTTTCTCAAAGCCACAGAGAGAACAGCCTCCCTGCCCCCCCCAACTTGCCTGCTGTCTGTTGCTGAGAAATTCCTTCCAGTTAAAGCCTGTCTCCGAGCTCGCCTACCTTTTTCATGTGAAAATGCCCCCCCCCCCCTTCCAGGCCCAGTTCCAGTTTTTAATCGCGGGGGGGGGGGGGGGCGAGTGGAGGAGG